ATCTCTCATGTTCGGAAAACTCTCTGGGTGCAACAGGCCTGTACAAGGTCTCAACAGAAGTTTCATTTTTTTTTTACCGGAACTCTTGAAACTTCGGCGAAGTTTCATATTTGGATTCACAGAAAGACACAAAGAGCAATCTGTTGGCATTCTTCACTTCCACAGACATGAGTTACAGTGAATATTGAGATAATTTACTAAGGCACTTTAAGTCGCATTTTCTCCTTGTTTTTTTTTGAGAACTTTCCCAGTCTCTCTTTTCATTTTTTCGAAGGTTTTTCATAGATATACCAGAGTCAGCACAATGATAGAAGGATTGCCTCAAAGAATAAGAATTGAATTGCATGCACACACTTGCAGGTAAAACGGCGCTTATCAGTTCTTTGCGCCTAAAACCTACCTATCCTATCACTCATATCAACTCAGACTTAGAAAGCTATCGTGTGCAGGAGAATGAACACATTGGTGTTTTAGCATCAGCGGGCATTTGTGCAGTGCCTTGTTATGGATGCATATTTATCTTTAGACTCTAAAGTTTGCTTTAGTAACAACCGTTATTAATCACATTTCGTTTTCATTTTCGTCCTCATATTCTTGAGGAGCGGCTGATTTGCGGAGGATGCATACATCAATTGGAAGGGCTGATTGTGCTCTTTAAAATATATCTACTGATCGGTGGAAAGCTAATTTACTCGGATCTCGTAGCTTCCAAAGATGGAAATTTTAGAAGGCGAAGTAGCAATTTCGACATTTGCCCATATATCTTTATGAAAAAGCGTTTTTGCAGATTTTTCTGTCGTTTATGGAACATGGCGCTCGCACATCAATATGAGAGAAAAACAAATGGATTTTTGCAAAAGATCAAGAGCTGAGTAGGGTGTCCCTGAACAAGACTTTTCGGGGGATGGGCAGTACATCCTGCACCGAAAATTGCTCTACACGTAGGCGATGGTCAACCATACCGTAAGCAAACTAACTGTACCTTTTAAACCAGGTCCTACCGCAGAAAAAGCCTAAGCTCTATCAAATTATCATGTGCTTCGCTCTCTAGCAAACGTCATAAGTCCATGTCCCAATGTCTCAATAACTAGTTCGAGCGCTGATTAGATGACTTTCTTGGGACCCGGCGCGCTGTCGTTTGAAAAATTGAGATTGAGAGGATAACAATAATGTGCCAAAAGGTCGTGTGCTACAACGAGGAATACAATTTTGATTAGACCTAATACATCCCCAAAGCAACTTATGGCACCCCTGAGAGGTATAAACCCTCATAATTGACTAATGGGTTCACACATACATAAACCAGTGCTATAACTTGGCACACTGTCAAACCTTTTTTTCTCACGGTCTGGTGTTATTTTTATTCTGAGCAAATAATTGCAGAAATTAGTTTCCAACGACAATGAATGCTTGGAGATTCTTTATTGTGGTGAGTTTATATTTATATCACGGAGACGTAAGGAAAAGATTATGTTCGTTTACTGATAAATTATATAAGTTAATTTTGTGTTTGCAACACTGATTATAGTGTGCTTCGATGTCAATTATTTAATCCTGCTTTATTGTCAGTGAAAGGACATCAAAAACCTTTGATATGCGTTTTGGCCTAATTTTTTTGGGTTGACGATTTTGTCTTCTTGTTATTTGGTCGTGTCTTGCATGCTACGTTCTCTTCAAAGGTAATGCCCTTATCTTACATGTTCAGAGATGAGCTTATTTGATCTGGCTCATTTTATTGATTCATGTACCTCCTCACTTCTCTTTTTAGCAATGCAAATGTCAAACACTGTGGCTTAATGTTTTTGGGATAAGCTAAAGAGTTCTTTTTGAAGTGTTCTTATTTCTGGATGAAGGTCCGTCGTCAGCAATATGAAGTTTTTTTACGATCAAAGGTATTGAATAATTTTGTACGTACCGTAAATACACCCATAGCGAACAGGAAAGAATTCAATTTATGCTCGATGAATATCTTGATCGAATTGGGTAAGTCATTGCCTTAAATTGGTAAATAGCAATTCGAAAATTTTCTTTGGATGCAACCGGGAGAAACATGAAGATCCGCATCCGCTGGGTTGGCCTCGCCCAGCTAGTATTGACGCCACCTTTCTTGCAATACAAGTGAGCGCCTTGGAGTAAATATCTTGAGGGATGTGGTCGTATCTAAATCATGTGAGAAAAATTATAGTGATGACTATGATGTTACGTCTTCGGAGGTGGGTGAGAATGAAATTTTTTTCAAGTTTGAGCTTTTGTATGAAAGGTGAGTACAGAGTGTACTAAGTTAGTAAGAGTTTAGCTTTTGGTTTTGATATGAAGAATATGAAAGCAAGCTTATAGGCCAAGATGATTCATACTTTTGGCATTACTTTTGTGCTGAAGGAGAATGACTAAATTAAACGATTACAATAATGCTCACGGCACAAAAATCATAGGCCCGTAGTAAACCCCCCTTCATTTCAGATGATTTCAACAGTGGGGCTGAGTTGAGGTTTTTAAGGTAAACTGACTAGCGATCACTCTCACATGCTTAAAAATGGCTGATCTAAAGGGGTAGCGTCAGGGCATGTGCCGCGATGAATTCACCTGAAATCCGTAAGAGCAGCCTCGATTTTGGGATGAATTGACCGAAATAGTGTGCATTAGACGAGACGCAGAGAAAAGTCCCCTAAGTTGCTCGTGAGTAACTTACGGGACACTTACATAATATTGCAGACTAGAATGCGCTAAACTGCGCACATTTTGTGCACGTTTGGTGTCTCAAATTTTGATTCGTTTCTTTCGTTTGCATTGGGCATTTTCACACATTTTGCAATCTAACGTAATATCCGCGTGAGAATTTAAATAGCAGTCTTTTCATCGCTTCTAGTTTCAACACGATACCGCCGAGACAAAGAAGTGTGTGACTACCAGTGTTGTAATTGCAACTTATCTGAACCTCTCCGCAGATCGTGTTTCGTGCATATCACAAGATTACTTGTTACTTGATTACTTGTTTATCTAGTGAAACCCGTTCCTTATGCCATGTCTAGCGACATATCACTCCTGTCACTCCGCAACTTACATCTCTTTCATCGATTTGTCTATCTGCCTACTCGACATCTCCGTTTTGCGAATTATTGTCACACTTAAATTTGAGGTTGATGTATTCTCAACGCCTGCTGATTTCAGTCTTGTCTTTCGCACACGAAGTAGTCCCGTCGATGGCGCATATACGTTTTTAAAAAGTAATCCCATGTTTTGCTGGGTGTTATTGTAGTAGTTATTATTCCTTACATCCACACCAGTCATTAGCGGGGAGGGGGCCGTTGTTATGTTTCTCTTGTTGTGAGCAGCGTCTTCAATAAGCTAATACCGCTTTTATAAGCAACTAGCTGGCTTACCCGGCTCCGCCGTATGTTCCGAATAGAAAATTCCATTTCTGAACCGATCGGGCCAAACTTAGCACACATACACTTCGGGCCCCGGTGGGTGTCATAGGCTACTTTTCGTCATCGATCGATATCGATTTTATCGATTTTTATCGATTTTTTTGCTGAGTTCACCTACGGGGCTGGGAGTTGGCACAGGGGGGTAATCGAGCATGCTGATCACCCCCACGCCAACTCCCAGCCCCGTAGCTCAAATTTTGCAAAAAATCGATAAAATCGATATCGATCGATGACGAAAAGTAGCCTATGACACCCACCGGGGCCCGAAGTGTATGTGTGCTAAGTTCGGTCCCGATCGGTTCAGAAATGGAATTTTCTATTCGGAACATACGTACACACAGACATACAGACATACAGACATACAGACAGACAGACAAACAGACATTCAGCTTTATATATAAGATTTTGTAGAAAGTTCTGGCAAAATGCCGAACTCTGTCTCGCGCTATATAGTCGACTTTTTTGTGAACAATGCAGACGTATTGTTGAGCGATACAAACGTCCGCACACCGACGCAAAATGCCGAACGAACGGATGCGTACGAAACCCTAATCACGAAGATTCGCGATGAATTTGGATACGATGTGAGCGAACGTAAGAGCAGAAATCATTTCGATCATGTGAGATCCAAAGTCATAACAAAGGGAATGGCTTTAAAAAAGGGATTCGAAGCCGAAAAAAAGTAAAAACTTCAATAAACTTATTTTTGTTCATTTATGATCTCAACTACAATCTTTAGATATCGCTCCAGGACGGGGGGGGGGTGGATTACGAGTTTCCGAAGAAATGCGTTTCTCCAGAAGTAACGACGCATGTCTCTTCGACACCCCAACAGGAGAAAAACTCTGGAGTTTTTTTCGAAAACACGCCCGTCACCACTCCATTTGTAGAGGGCGAAAGCACGCACGGAACTTGTACGCAGGACAAAACGTTTTGTGCCAGGCAGGATTCGAATTTAATCTGCATTTCATAGCAGGCTGCCATTTTAACCGCTCTACCATTCGACACAGCAGTCGTTTCCGTGCGATGGCTACTTCAGGTTTTATGGCTGCGTAAGCGTTCATGTTCGGATGATACAAGAAAACACAATCATAATACAAAATTACGTCATAATATAAAATTACGCACGGTCATAACACGACTATAAAACATCATGAAAAAAGCAATAAAATGAGTTGGAAGAGAAGAAAAAGCAGCAGATAAATGTGCGCAAGAAAATTTGGCGCTATGTATGGATTTCGAGTGCTAATCACTAGCGCACAACTACGACATGGACAAAAATTGAAAGCCTTGAGGCATCGCAAAACTGTCCCCCCCCCCCCACCGGACTCGAACCTGCGACCACTCCAACGCCACGCCGACCTTTACCCCACTCCACCACTTCACTCGTTACCTTTGTCTCCATCAAAGAGAACTAGAGCATATCACCATAACTGGGGGATAGGGTATGGATTTGCCGATCGATGGCTCGCTGGATGCTGGACCGAGGCGCCATACGATCAACTCAGGTCCGTTTTGGCAGATCCCCTCAAGGGGGGTTTACTACGGGCCATAGTCATACAGGAGAAAACGATGAGAAAAACGGATCAGGAAATACCCTGGTGAGTATTTTTTTGATGTACTGCTACTGCCTTGATTATTTTCAAGTTTTCTTCAGTCTCTGTTTTCGTAACGATAAGGAAAAATATTCAAATTTTAACGTCAAAGCGCCGGACAAAGATAAAAAAGGAAAGATTGAGATTGGCGAGCTTGGGACCGTAAGTAAATACACTTTGGAAAGTAAATGTTGTTTTTCTAAACTTTAATTTGATCCGGTCATTTGGCAAAGAGACTGCAATGGGATTACTAGGAATGGCAAGGTATGGCCATGGATGAAATGCTTGATTTCAAGATTCAAAAGGATTGTGCAGTAAGCATCTGCTACATATCTTGTAGTAAGCTTATCTCATGTTACCTCACCTTCCTGGAACAGAATGGAGATCTGCATGCCGGAAAACTCAATCTGCCTGGATTGCCAAAAGAACAACAAAGAGAAGAGAAGCCGTGCTCCTCAAACGCCAACAAAAGTAATTCCTCAACTCCTATTCTTCATAATCTAGACATACCTTCACGCTCATATTCCGATATGTAAGTTGATTCTGATTGAATATCTGGTCTACTATTGTCAAAGTTTTGGGTGCGCGGTGTAAAAAGGCCGAAGGAAGTTAAGGAACCAATGCAGAAAGAAAGGAAGGCGAGTCATTGTCTCTTACCAGTAAAGAAGAAAAAACAAGCAAATCAAACTGCTGTGTTTCAATGAGAAACGGAGCTATTTTAATTGCCTCTACAAATAAAGTTTTACTATGTGTGTAGGTCCTGAGCTAAATTAGATTTGCTCAAACCTATAATAGTAATGCCTATCAGCAACTTCCGAAAGTCAACATATATGCAGGTTTACGTGATTAAAGATCAGAAGTATTGGCTCAAATTTTCTGCACTTTACTTTCAAGCGTAAAATTCACTAGCGAGGACGTGAAATAGGTGAGTAAGAGACTAAGCTATGATGTGGAACTCAAATGTCTAAAATTTCTATCTAGACTTCGCAAGTGGATTCCTCACTTTGTTCTTTCTTATGCATGACGTTATCGAGGGCTGTTACAAACTTGAAATAGTGAAGAAGCCTTTAATGTTGGTGAGTGAATGTAACTGATTGTGAAATATTGATTCTAGAGTAATATCACTCACCGTTTGCTACCTGATTTACACCATAACTTGTCCATAACTTGGTATTGTAGTCCTCATATAAGTCTTACATTTAAAGTTCTGATTTTTATTATAGTTGGTTAGTAATTATGCTGCATTTTTTGCAAAACGTCGTTATAAATCATAAGAAGTGCGAAGTAGGGCATACCCAAGGACTGTCCTGCGCAATTATGAGCACAGCCTGTTTAGGTCAGAGATAGGCACACCTACAACTCAACCCCCCTCAACTCAACATCTTCTTCACTTTTTTGAAGTAAAGCCAGAACCACCCTGAATTTGCATGCAGAACAGCGCGAATGACTCTTGAAGCAACGATCAACGAGAGAAGCCGCAGCGAAAAGCTAGAATCAAAGAAAAACTCGATCAAAACATAAAAAATAGACTTTGACGTCATTCAAATAGGTGTCTGTCCCTGTGTGCAGCCGCGACATAGGCGACCCGCTGGCCTCATCCAGAATTTCAAACTTTTCTGCAATGACACACGGCATAAAGTGTTAACTAGATAGATGACGTCTACTTACTTCGCATTTTCCAGCTTTTGTATGATTCCTGACGGGGCCTAGCGTCTTTTTCAAAATCGTCTTTCTTTGTTTGAAAATAATGGAAGCGTCTCAGGGTTGTGATGATTATATAACACAACAGCGCGAAACATGTTTACAGCACATTATTTTGGGGATTACCGCTCGATCATCTCTGATGACTCGGCAGGAAGATGATCTCTCTGCCGAAACTGTCCTGAGGCTCACATGTCAGGTAATGTTGCATTTTTTTAACATGATGAAGACATGAAGAAATGTGCGGTCGTCATTTTACCTGACCTGTACCTGGAACTTCACATAAGGGCCTCATGGAGATCATCTTGCCCGCGAGCTTTACTACGGGCCATTCTTTTTGACTTCAAACGAGAAAAATGACCTCGAACGAAAAGCGTTTGGCCGCTGGGAATTAATGAGGTCTTTGCAAAAAAATAGAAAATGCGGCATGTACAAATTTTCGCTCCTGTTCAATATGTTCATAGTGATGCATGATAGGAATACTTACGGATGGACAGACAGCGTGAAATTTAGATGTCTTACGCTTCAGGATATGAAGCTTTTACTGAGCTGTGATGCCCTCCATAGCGGGGTTGTTAGTGCATGCGGCTCTAAGTCCGAGGGGCTCATCACATGTAGTCTTATTGTATGGTTTGAGAGCAGTAGGATGGGGCCGAAGATTGTTCTGAATTAATGTCGATAGTCGCTAAGAGAGGAGGCACAAACAACAGATTTGTTTTCTATATACAGGTGATTTTGAAAGATAGTCAAGGTTTGATAGAAGATCGTGACAAAAATGAATTTCAGCTTTTATTGCTTTTTGGGACGTCCATGCACTTTCTTATTTGCCAAGGCAGTTGTTGCATTCATTGCAGGGTCCGACTCTTAACGAAATGATGTAAGAAGGTCATGGCATGTACTGTAACTAGACACGATAGGCAATTCACAAATCTCACAAGTTTATTTGTCTCTTGCGTACTCCGGAGCTAAAGATATGCAAGCAGCTGTTTATTCTTTGAAAGAATAGTTCAAGCAACCATAACGATAGATTTTCTATCAATGGTCAGGGTCGTTGTGATGTTAGAAATTTGTTGCATGTTGTTGCAGAATGGCAAAAACAGGGGAGGCGATGAGATTTTGAGTGGACGCGGCCTTTAGGCCATTGACGACGATTTGGACCATTGGTGGCCCACGCTTTTTTGCCGTCAGGGACGATGTGGACCAGCGGTGGCCCACACCCCTTGCAAAATCATGTCCGTTTCAGGTCTAGTATCTTATCCACAAATCAGTATTTTTTCCAATTTTTGCACTCTCGGAACCCGTGGACTCCGTCGTCGAAGAAGATGACTGTGATTAATTACAAAACTAGTTTACATTTCGTAAATAATCACAAATCTCCCACGGCGAAAGTGTTGTGCAAAATCGCGTCGTCCCAAAGCGCCGCCACGCAAAATTAGGCGTCGTCGTCAACGGGTAAGTACACCTTTCAAGCTTATGATCAACAAGGTTCATCTTGTGATCTATTTCACTTGGGTGGCTTATCTTGGAAACGGGAAAGAACGAGTTCACCTTGTTTGAAAATATACGTAACCAGCAATCTGATTAACGCATCTAAGCAGAAATGTGGAAAGATTCGTTGAAACTGGCTACTCATCATGCAGCTATGTAACTCATACACTTCCAAAAAAAATAGTTTGAGATAACCAGTGCATTTGATAGCCTCTCTGAGCAGATTTTCAAATATACCTGCAAACATACCCTCGATACATAGAGCCACGTACTCTGGTAACCTTCACTTTGAGGGCTATGGGGGGACATTCACCTGAAAAAAAAAAGCAGAAGCATCCAGGGCTTCGCCCTGGACGTTATTATCTTTATTATCCTGACTGTATCGGAACGTATGTTAATGAAGCAAATATAGGGAATAATATCCCTAGCTTATTTCAGCGAAACCGAGAATTTGCGTTTTCATAGCCTTTTTTACGTTTAAAAAGAGGGTTTCTGTGGAATTTTCGCCAGAATTCAGGACAAAATTTCTCCGTTAACCTCTCATTTGACCAAAATAGAGTTTCAGAAGTTTAGGAAAGCTATTGGAGTTAAATAAAAACGAAAAACTGCGCTTAATTCTTGTGCAGAGAATCGTGCACGAATACGCTGTCTATCTCGTTAATGAGTGATTTTCAAAGCTTGGGACGTTGTCAGTTCTCCTCGTCGTGTCATGACGATCAGAACGATATTTAATGTTGCAAGATTTCGTTGAGACCCCGCTGAGATCTACACCAGAGCCAAATGCCCCGTCGGCTCTGGTCTGTCTCCGCTGCTCGTCTGCGTCTCCGCGCGCTGCGCGCTACCTCGCTACCCCAAACGCGGGGCGCGGGGCATTTGGCTCTGGTACCCTTTTCTTCGCTGTTTCGAACCCAAATTTTGCAAGCTATATACCATTTTGAAGCTCTTGATTTCTATTTTCACGCTGACAACGTCCCAGAACTACATTTTTTGATCTGATCGAGAAATCCGGTAAAAACCTTGTTTTCGAAAATCCCTTGTTTTTCCCCAAGTTTAACTCTTTTCACGCGGTTTTTTCGTGCATTCTATAGATCTTGCTTCTGTTCATAACGCAGACAACCACCCAGCTCTTACCTCTTTGATTATGGGGGAATTTTTTGCGAAAAATCGTAAAAAGTGCCTTTTTCTTTACCTTGTTCTGTTTCAATGCTTTCGCATCGATTTTTTTTTCCAGCTTGGGCGATTGTTGCTCAGAACAATGAGCGCAACAATCCAGACAACGTCCCAGGAAACAGGAACGTCAATGCGGGGGTAAAAATTTAAAGGACGCATCAAAAATCGAGACCCCGTGTTGCGAATTCCTGGTCCTGGGCGAAAACTTGCACTCTGAAAAGCCGCCAAATGAAAGATTTCAAACTTTATTGCAGCGTTTTTATCCTGTTTACAGCGGTTTCTTTTACTTTTTATATCTGTTTTACGTCATTTTCTCTTTTCTGATCTTCTTCAAACAACCTTCACTATTTTATGACGTCAGATGTTAAAACAACCTTCACTTTTGGCGCTCTGTCTCTAGACTATCGAAGGTATGCCTGCAAATTGTCAGTCTCATTGTGCACTTAATGTAACTCGATAGTATATTACCATCGCAACAAACAAATACACCACTGTAATGAGCACATTAAGCAAGCTCTCTATGCAATGTTGAAAGCCTATTCGTGAAAATCGACTGTTTGCCGTATGCCTACAGTACCTTCACTAACACTACACAAGAGTATGCGCAGCGCCGAGCCGAGTTGAATGGTGTCCTTGCAACATACCTCCGACAGTCTAGAGACAGGGCGTCAAAAGTGAAGGTTGTTTGAACATCTGACATCATAAATAATGACGGTTGTTTGAAGAAGATCACTGAAGAGAAAGTGACGTAAAACAGATATAAAAAGCGAAAGAAACTGTTGAAAACCGGATAAAAACGCTGCAAAGAGGTCTGAAATCTTTCATTTGGCGGTTTTTCGAATGCAAGTTTTCGCTCCAGGACCAGCAATTCGCAACACGGGGTTTTGTTTTTTGATGTGTCCTTTAAATTTTAGCCCCGCAATGACGTTCCTGTTTTCTGGGACGTTGTCTGGATTGTTGTGCTTATTGTTCTGAGCAATAATCGCTCAAGTTTGGAAAAAATCGATGTGAAAGCACTGAAATAGAGTAAGATGAAGAAAAACGCACTTTTTGCGATTTTTCACGAAAAATTCCACCATAATCTAATAGGTAAGGGCTGGGTGGTTGTCTGCATTATGCACAGAAGCAAGATCTATAGAATGCGCGAAAAAACCGCATGAAAATAATTAAACTAGGAGAAAAACAAGAGATTTTCGAAAACAAGGTTTTTGACGGATTTTTCGATCAAATCAAAAAATATGGTTCTGGGACGTTGTCAGCGTGAAAATAGAGATCAAGAGCTTCAAAATGATATATAACTTGCTAAAACTGGGTTCGAAACAGCGAAGAAAAGGGTACCAGAGCCAAATGCCCCGCGCCCCGCGTTTGGGGTAGTGAGGTAGCTCGCAGCGCGCGGAGACGCAAACGAGCAGCGGAGCCAGACCAGAGCCGACGGGGCATTTGGCTCTGGTCGTAGATCTCCGCGGGGCCTCAACGAAACCCTGCAACATTATATATCATTCTGATCGTCATGACACGGCGAGGAGAACTGACAATGTCCCAAGCTTTGAAAATCACTCATTAACAGTATAGACCGGCGTTTTCTTGCGCGGCTTTTTGCGCGAGATTTAAGCGCAGTTTCTCGCTTTTATCAGACTCCAATAGCTTTCCTAAACTTCTGAAACTCGATTTTGTTCAAATGAGAGGATAACTGAGAAATTTTGTATAGAAATCTGGCGAAAATTCCACAGAAACC